TCTGTACCAGCATCTACATGCACGTGATCCAGCCTACAGACGCGGTCGCTTGGCACGGCACTGGTCGCTACACAGGAAGCTGTGGAAGGCTTTTATGTCGCTGTGTGACTATGTACATGCTTGGTCGATCGAGTGGCCCCGCGCCTGTGCTTACTGGTCATGGAACCAGACCATCCGTTTTCTGCAGTCGCGACCTTACATGTTGCACGATGTGTTGGTTGACGGTTGCTCGCTTGGCATGCGTGGTCGAGATGGCGAGTTGATCTACAAACGTTGGCGTGTCATCACGACGATGGAGTCGGTTGCTCGCAGCTTGTCGGTCTTTCGGTGTCCAGGTGATGGTCATCCACATTCCGCCAACTTCGATCTCAAGAATACCCAACACTACCCGGAGAAGTTGACGAACGCTTTCTTGCACGCGTTAAACGCATGACACCGCGAGATTTGCTCAAAGTTTTTTTTTCCTCTTTTACTTTGCCTTCGGTACGGTGTATAGAGCATAGGACGTGCCATGGCTGATATGGTTGAGGTTGAGAACGCTGTGAGGCGCACTTGGGTTCGAGAGCTCTGGATGCAATGGGTTCCTCAGCAGCAGGTGGAAGTCAGTTTGATCGCCTTCCTTGCGACGTTTTCCTTGGCGATGCTTGGCAGCTTCCTCGCTGGAATCTTTGTGCAGCAATACCGACAGCGTCACAGCCATATTCTATCTCTGAGTGAGCTTCTTACCTTTCTTCCAGTGGAACAAAGTCGGAGAGCAATTATCACTACGCGGCATGGATATGCCTTTCATGTTCGCAGCAATTGCCCCGCCCTGCGCAATGCCCACCCAGGCAATCTGCAGCGTCGCGTTGCTTGTGAGTTTTGTCTGGAATACTTGCGCGTGGACGAGCCGACACCCACCGTGTCGAGGGGGGGTGTAGAAGTTCGAGAACTGTGCGTCATCCTGTGAGGGTGCGACACGGTGAGTTTTGCAGTTTGCAGTTTTGTGTGCATAGCTTGGAGTCTGCTCAGCTTTTGAAGTTTTCCCAGTAGCCTGAGTACGATTAGTGGTGCAGGAACGTTTTGCCTCATAGGGAACCACTCTCGTCGAGTTTCGTGACTTGAGGGTAGTTTTGGAGGTCTTTTAAGCCGAGCTGGCAAGTTGGAGAGCTGTGATACGTTTTCCACTTTGGCTCAAGTGACGAGCACTGGTGTGAGTGCTGCAAGCCAAAACAGAAGTGTTGTCCGAGTGTCTGAGCTTGCTTGCTTGGTTTGGACTTGTGTGAGTTGGCTTGGTTGTATCCTTGGTGCCTTGCTTGGCATCTTGGGTTTTTAACGTGGACAACCAGCTTGATGCCACCTGCGTTGATGCTCTTGAGGCTGGCAGACACCTAGCAGTTCCTTCTGCGCGGTGCTTGGCCATGTTTGTTGGAGTGCTGTGGCTCCTTGCTATCAAGTTTGCTTCGCCCAAGCACCAGCAGTTGGAACACAGCAGTGGTTTGACTGTGCCGATGCAAGCTTTCTGTGTGTGACAAAGTTTACAACTTTGTTAAGGATCATACAGACACCGCGCCGCGGAGGGTGCCTGGCACAGTGCTGTTTGAGCTGGCTGTCGGCATTTTGCTTAACGTCTTTTGGCGGCTCGATTTGCAAAGACCTTTCTTGCCGCTGCTGTCAGCAACTGATACTAGCACAGAATTTGGCTTTGGAGGAGCGTTGCCCAATTGCCTGAAGGCATGATTTGCAGACTTGCCCGTGTCTTCAAGAAGCAGAGGGGCTGTGTAGTTCTGGAAGGTGCTGCACCCTTCGTGCAACCCATGGTCGCTGGGGCCTTTGTTGCCGTATAGATGTGAGCCTGTGCGACTTTGTGGACATTTTCTCTGTCAGAAGGCGTTTCAAGGCACACATAAATGTTTTGGAAGGCGAAGCGTTTCTCATTTGGTTGCGTTGGCTGCTCCGATGCAGAAGGCGACACTGTAAGCGAGTCGTCGTGCTTGTGGACAGCGCTGTTTGGTTGGGTGCTGCAACGAAAGGCAGGTCCTCAACTTAACTCAACAGGCTGTTGCGAAAGGCAGCTGCGCTGGAACTGGCAGGTGAACTGCAAGTGTACTTATTTCTGTCCCGTATGCAGAAAACCCGTCTGACTGGCCATCACGAGGAGTACGTCGTCGACGTGTTCACGCAGACAAATGTGCAGCGCCCCCATCTTCGCCCGCCTGATTGCTCACGGGCGCTTGGCAGAGGTATTGTGCAGCGTGTGGCTATTTTTCTGCCTTGCTTCGCAGCATCTGGCATGATGTGCACGGGTCTTCATGCTGCCCTACCTCTTCCAAATCGAATTTGTTTTTTCGGTGTACAGTCTTCCAGCTAGCATCGTTCGTCCATCCATGCTTTCCGGGCTTTCCAGCTGATTGTATGGCAGTGGGTACCTTGGTGCTTGTACCTGCGGGGTGCACATCAAGTTGTGCAAGCCGGATAGGTTTCTTTGACAGCCTTCTGGGCTTATTGTGTGGGCCATGGGCAGTTTCTGAAGAGTTTTCGCGTGCTTGCAGCTCTGATTTTCGGCAAGATCCGAGCGAGTCCAATAATTAGCGGCCGCTTGCCGCAGCGGTCGCGGCCAGTATTGGTTGGTTGGGTGTGAATTGCAGCAGTGAATACAGCTTCACTGGGCAAATGCGGGCTGCGGAAAGTGCAGCAACATGTTAACCTCCTGATGCTGGCAATGCGGTTTTTGATGAAAAGAGGTGTTGGGCAAGGTGAGATGATTGCAACCTGCCGTTCTGCAAGTGACGAATGGCACTTTCATGGTCGCGGCTGCAGAAGCCATTTACAACAATGAAGGGGCTATTGTTGTTCAGGCGGTGTTGATGAACGCATGCTGCCTGTGCATGAGTAAAGAAAGATCGGAGGCAAGCGAAACGGTATACTTCAGCAATCAACTCTCTTCTTCCTGCATTCATCTCAAGAATGCAGCCTTTGTATAGCCAAAAACCTCTTGCAATGCCCTCCCTTCCCTCCCTTTAGGGGTGTGGATTGCAGCAGTGAATACAGCTTCACTGGGCAAATGCGGGCTGCGGAAAGTGCAGCGACATGTTAACCTCCTGATGCTGGCGATGCGGTTTTTGATGAAAAGAGGTGTTGGGCAAGGTGAGATGATTGCAACCTGCCGTTCTGCGAGTGACGAATGGCACTTTCATGGTCGCGGCTGCAGAAGCCGTTTACAACAATGAGGGTTTAAGGTTTAGGGAGCCGTTGCTTTGTGAGATGACGGTGACACGCAACCAACATCTCCTCTGTCGAGTGGATTGGAATATTGAGGTGTCAGGAGGCCACGCAAGCATCAACCTACACCCACGTAACACCAAAACACTCCAACCAACCGGAAACCTCCAATCTCACCGCCGACCTAGCAAAAACCCTATGCTCCAAACTCCTAGCACTCCTAAGACAGACCCTGCACGCCCCTGCACCCGAAAACCCTGGACCCTGACCCCATTGACCCTGGTAGGAAGAATCCAAATGCTAGGGTTTAGGGTTTAGGGTTTGGGGTTTAGGGTTTAGGGAGGGTCGGAAGAATTACTTACCCCATTCTAGTTCTCCATGGCCTCTGGGGCATCCCTCCTTTCCTAGGCAACTGGGGAGCCGTTCCAATGTGGTTCAGGGGTTTAGGGTTCAGGGTCCATTATATACTGGAAGACTTTGCGGGCCTGATTGTATCTGGGGTGTCTTTTTTGTAGATATTCCTTTTGGTTTGGGAACAACAGAAAGGGACCACAACGATTTGGCTCTCTATATCCCGAGGCCCGAAAGCCCGAAGCCCAAACCAAAACCCTTTCAGAAAGAAAGGCCTGAACCCTGAACCCTGAACCCTAAACTATAAACCCTAAATTTGATTTCCCAACTGTGTTTGTACTTTGGTGTCATCAGCACACGCCCGACCACCTGCCTGAAAGGAGACAATTGCAGTAGAACCTAAACCCTCTTTTTCATCTTGATTTCAGGCGCTCCAATCTTATATTTACTGAGCTAAGTGAACTAATTATATTAGCGGCCTTTATTACACTCTATTTGGCCGCTCATCATGCTATTTTTGTATTCACTGCCTTGTTTTTATTAAAGTTGGTTTGGATGCAACAATAATATTAACGGAAAACCCCGGGCGCTTACTTGTAGCAATATTATCTTCTTTCCTTTGGAGATATTGTTAGGGGGTTTGGAAAGTCCCTCAACCCTTGGAGGATCCAAAAAGTCGAACCCACCCAAATAGTACCCTATACTACTATTAGGTCATTCTTAGGAACCCTTCAGGGGATCTGCTTCTTTTGGATCCTCTTCAGGGTCTGGGAAACCCCGAGCCCTGAAACCCTAAACCCTAAACCCTGAAGCTCAGCTTGTCAGCATGGCAGGTTTCGTCTGCCTCCATCTCCACTGCGCCTGCGGAGAGGCCCCCTACACAGGCCAGCACCTCCGCATTGTCTTTGGGCCTAAACCCTAAACCCTAAACCCTAAACCCTAAACCCTAAACCCTAAACCCTAAACCCTAAACCCTAAACCCTAAACCCTAAACCCTAAACCCTAAACCCTAAACCCTAAACCCTAAACCCTAAACCCTAAACCCTAAACCCTAAACCCTAAACCCTAAACCCTAAACCCTAAACCCTAAACCCTAAACCCTAAACCCTAAACCCTAAACCCTAAACCCTAAACCCTAAACCCTAAACCCTAACTGGGTGTAAGCTTGGTAGCCCAGTGGTGCCCTTTGCCCACTTTTCTTTGGGTGGGGGGTCGAGGTTCCCTTAAGTAAAGCAACCAACCCTTCCCCCCCCCCCCCCCCCCCCCCCCCCAAAAAAAAAAAAAGGTACCCTTATTTGTATTATGGTTTCTGGGCTACCACGTAAGGGATCATAGGCCCGCTTTTAGGGTTTAGTTGGCGCGCAGGGCATTTCTGTGTGTTGCCTCCGAGCCAGCGACAAGTCTAGCTGCCAGCTCAACCGAAGCCCCACCGCACAGCCAGAGGTGCCATGGAAGGCCTCCATTCTCCAGTTCCGCCTCAGCAAGTGCAGGTGGAGTTGCCCAACGGTTCTCCGGATTCAATCTCTGGCAGCAGCAACTATTATCGCGTGGCAAGCACAACCACCCTCGAAGAGCTCCGACAGCAGCAGCGGGAGCAGGCCATGGAGCGCACGGAGCACGTGGAGCACATGGAGCCCGCGGAGCAAGCGGCGCCTCGAGCTGAGAACCCCAGCCCCGATCATGATGGCATCGTGCCGGATCCAGAATCTCCGCCGCCAGACGTAGGAAAGGCGTGGACTGATGATGTGCTCGAGTCTGCAAAAGCTGTCGGGCACAACCCATCGATGCAATCGATGAAGTCCGCCATCCAGAAGGGCGTTCTTGCAAAGATGGCTTCCAAGGTTTTCCCGAACGACCGCATCCACGAAGACCCGTGCCAGCATCAGCACACCTGTTGCCAGACAGTCACCACCGTGCTCAGCACTGTCTTGCTGCTCCCGCTTGGCGTGGTTCTGCACGACGCACCTTCCCCGTGGTTGCAAAAGGCCGTACGCTACAGCGCAGTGCTCATGGGCACTATGGCATGGGGTGCATGCGTGTTTACCGCATCCACTGCCACCGAAACTGGATGGCAGAAGGGCAGCTGTTGGTTTCGGGTTTTGGAGGCCACAGCTTTCATGGCCCTCTTGCTTGGAAAAAGCAGCAGCAAGAGCTTTCAACAGTTGAACGCCCATGTGATGAAGGCCATGAAATCACAAAGCTTTGGTTCAGCTGCACACGCGAGCATCAAGTGCGACGTGGCTGTGATCCTGGCATGCTGCGCCAGCTGGCTGACTTGCCACTTTGCGAAGGTTCGACTTGTGTCAATGTCTGGTGGCCAGATGACTTGGCAAGTCTACGTACTGCCGTGCCAACAAGCCCTGTACCGTGCCTCATGGGCTCTATGGCTCCTGCGCTTGAATCATCTGCTGAAGGCTTTGGTGGATACATTCTGCCGGAGCTGCGCGCAGTTCCTTACCGCGGTGGACGCAACATACACCCAATGGTTCGGCGTTACGGCCTTCGCCGGGCAGATCGCCGAGGAGGGGGATGTGGTGCTCCTTGGTGTGCCTGGAGCATGGCTTTCTAGCTGCTAGCAGGGTTTAGGGTTTAGGGTTTAGGGTTTAGGGTATTTTAAAGTCAAGCTTGGTATAGTATAGGCTCATTGGTGGCAGGATACCTTGTGTGGGGGGGCGAGGGGGGGGCCGCAGCAGGTACTTGGTGATGTGCGGCACGGCATTGTCCAGCGCGGTAGCGCCCATGCTGGAGATCTTTCTACCCGCTGAGGAGTTCCCCGCTGACTGTACAGACTGGCTGCTTCCGCAACTGATCGCCAGCGCTACTTGGCACCCCGGTACCCTTTTTCCTGTTTTGGGTTAAGGTTCCCTTAGAAACAAAAAGGGGTGCCCTTACTATCATATGGTTACTGGGGTACCAAGGCTACAAACTTCTTCCTTGCGGCCCACGTGATCAGGAGTGCTTCGTCAGCAACAGCAAAGTGCGAAGCAGCAGCTTCCTTCGTCAACTCTTTGCAAGTGTGCCTGCCCAGTCACATGCGCCCGGAGCATCGCCTGTTCGTCAGCTACATGGAGGCCAGCGATGCCGGCATCTTCGTTCGGGGAGGCAAAGTCACTACTTCCTTACTTTTCCGCTTGCAGTCCCTTGCCTTCAGTGCGGTGTTCTTCTCAGCACTGCGCTACCAGGCCCTGCCCGAGGCGCAGAGGGTGCACATTGAAAACCAGCTTAACCGATTCATACATGCCGTGGCTTTCTGGGCGGATGGCCCTTCAGCTTGATGTTTCAATGGCGAGAGTAGGTAGCTTTGATTCAAGGGGGCCGAGGTCACTCCTTGAGGCTTTATAACTGTGCAGGTATACAGCCAGTTGAACAGGTTTTCATCGAGCGCACCACATCCCCACCATCATCCTCCATGAAGACAGCATCGCACTATCCACGTATGAACTTGCATTCCTTCTTGCCACCTTTATGGAGAGTGTTGGGGGCTCGCGTTGGGTTCAAAGCCCGCAACCAAGAGCAGGCCTCACAGTGAGCGATGCCCAGGCACTTGTTTTTTGCCTCTGCCATCGCATCATGATGTGAGACCTCTGCCTCGATAACTAAAGGAGGGCCCTTGTAAGGGACCCTAGGGGTTTGCTTTGGGGGTTATGTAGGGGGCTACTATGCAAGGTATATATATATATATATATAAATGTAAGTAAATAAAAAACAAACAGAAATAAATAAATAAATGTAATATATATATATATATATATTTATATTGATATAGGGGTTTTGTGGCGATCTTGATCATTTTTCTTTCCTTCAGCGGAACCTGGCAGCCAACAGCAGCCTTCCTCCGCTGGAGCTTTTCTGCAGTTGCATGCTGTGAAGCATTCAGACTAAGACTTCTGCTTGCCACCTCGTGCTCAAAGGTGTCGCCTGGGGCTCGGGTTTCAGAAAGCTTGAGGTCCAATTGGGGCTTGAGGGTCTGTAGGCCTTACGTTGCTTTCGTCTGATTATCACTTGGACATGTTCGGCTCTTCTCCTAAGCGTCTTCAGTTGGGCGTGGAACAGTGACATAAGGTCTAGGATGGCCCTTAAAACCTAAAACCCTCTGAAAAGTACGTAACCCCCCTAAACCCTAAGCCCTAAATCCTAAACCCTAAACCTTAACCCGAAACATGATCCTCTTAAACCCCAAAATGGAATTACAAAAGATCCCTAAGGGCAGTTGTTTAATTCGGCCAAGATGGGTTCAGGGTTTAGGGTTTAGGGTTTCGGGGTTCAGGGGTCAGGGGTTCAGGCCGGCGAACCTCAGAGGCTTCATAAACCACAGAGCATGTACTTTCTTAAGACCCGAGAAGCACCCTAAAGCATGAACTCCAAGCTTGTTTTGTGGGCCCTGAAAACCCTACACCCTAAACCCTAAACCCTAAACCCTAAACCCTAAACCCTAAACCCTAAACCCTAAACCCTACACCCTAAACCCTAAACCCTAAACCCTAAACCCTAATCCCTAAACCCTAAACCCTAAACGGCAGGCCGTATCTCGCCCAGCCGCAGCACCGCGCAAGCCACAGAAGAGCTCCGTCTGCATGCACGGCCGGGGCGAAGCAATGCGGTTGAGGGTTTAGGGTTTAGGGTTTAGGGCTTAGGGCTGAGGGCTTAGGGCTTAGGGCTTAGGGCTTAGGGCTTAAGGCTTAGGCCTAAGCCAGGTGTCATAGGGAGGTATTATTTATTTGGAGGGTGGGGGGTGGGGGGAGGTCAAACACAATCCTCTGTCGCGCTTACGCCTTGCACAAACCCTGAGAGCCTTGGGTTTTAGATTTTCGGGCTCAGGTTTAGGGTTCAGGGTTTAGGGTTCAGGGTTTAGGGTTTAGGGCTGAGGTCTCAGGGTCTATCAAATTTCTTTTGGCTTCTTCCGCCCAACCATTCTACAAGCTGCTTTTGGCTTCCCAAAGCACTCAACCCTCGCATGGGGACACTGAGAGGCAGCTTGCAAGCAGAGCACTTCTGTACTTCTAGAGGCAGCTGAATAGCTACCCCCTAAGGGCCCATGTACCGAATGTAGTATCTACTTGGGCCCTAAACCTACTGTGTGGGAACCGCTTTAAGGCCCAAGTAGTCACTACATAGGTACATGGACCCTTAGGTTACGAGTGGGCGGCGGCGGCAGCACCTGCCACCACCAACAGACTATGAACACAAAAAACAGGTGAACATGTGGAGGGTTCATTAACGCTGCTACAATGGCCATGACCTTCACCCCTTGCTTCAGGCCCTGGGTCTCAAAGATTGTTCCCCGCGACTTTTAGGCTTCCATGTGGGACGTTTCCAAAAACCTTTTTGGTGGTCCCTTTTTAAAGGGGATTCTACTGTTTTCTGTTCGGGGGATAAAAGGGGTACCCCCATTCTGGGATATTAACCTGAATTAACTATTTCAGGGGGGAAGGGCAGGGGGGGGGGGGCGGGACCCCAAAACCCCTCAAATTAAGAAATTTGCCCTAAACCCTAAACTTACTGTTGGTTAGCAGGGAATGGGGGAAGAAGGTACCATATATCCCCTTTTTTCCGTTTAAGGAATTATTTCTGGTACCTTACTTCCTCTGGCATGGCATGGCTTCATGGGGGGGTTAGGGTTTAGGGTTTAGGGTTTATTTAGGGTTTACGGTTTAGGGTTTAGGTTTAGGGCTTCACTAATCTGGGGTACTTAAGTCCTCCATCTCGGGGCACCTGTATTGCTTTGATTGTGAACAAAGTGCCCCTCGCAATCTTTAGACATCTTTAAACTAGGTCCACGTTCTTTGGGTCTCTGGCGTTGATATTCCTGAGAAGCGGTTGCGCCAGGCCCTGAGGTACGAGATCTGCAGTGTGAGGAAAAAGGCGGTTCAGCACCAGTATAGTCTGCAGTCTATTGTACAGTCATGTATAGACTACAGTATAGGGCCATAGCAGAATCTATCGTGAAGTCTACGGTATGGTGTAGTCCATAGCATGAGTGTAGTCCACCCTTGGCCAAGTCAGCGTGCTTGCATGCTGAATGCTCGAAGCGACGTCTCTGCAAATGGTCACCCCACAGCCCTGTCAGCAACGTAGGAGCCCTGACGACATCCTTGCGGGTAGTGGCATGGTCTGAAGGTCTGCCGGTGCAGGATGTGCTGACAGGTGTCTGTGTCACGTCGACTGTGACAAGAGTTGCGACCAACATCTACCAATCCGGGGACGTTGCATGCTTCGTTTTACGTACTTACTGCATCGGCATACTTGCACGTCCTTTCCCTAACGACCTACTACCTGCCTGCTGCCTAGTTCTTACTGCTACCCCTGCACAAACTGTCATGCGCTTACTGCTTCTGGGGCTGCAGGTTAGATGCCTGATCCTCATTGAATGTTGATCGCAGCTGACGGCTCACAAAGCAAGGAGTTCTATAGGTTCACCGAAATGACATTGATCAATCATATCTTACCACAATAGTCAACATACAAGTGTTAGTTTGTACATGTATGTATCTAAAATCTGTTCTACGACGTATTTTGTTTTATATATTGTACATATCATCTGTCTGTCTGTATGTTATGTTATGTTATGTCATGTCATGTCATGTTATGTTATGTTATGTTCTGTTATGTTATGTTATGATATGCTATGTTATGTTATGTTGTGTTGTGTTGTGTTATGTTATGTTATGCTATGCTATGGCATGCTATGCTATGCTATGCTATGCTATGCTATGCTATGCTATGCTATGTATGTACGTATGTTTATACATAATCTGCTATCTACTATAATATTTTATTTAGAGCCTACGCTAGTCAAGGCTTGGGATCGCATGTGTCTCATGCCAGAACTACACCCAAAGATTGTTCTGCTCCAGCATATACCCTGAGAGACAAATAGCCAGAAGTTCCCTTCCCCATGGCCTGGGAGCCTGGCCTGGCCTGGATCGTCTTCTTGCAGTCAGTCGTGCTCCTCGGCATGCACAGTCTTTGCAGCCGGTGCGCTCTTCGGATAAGTTGGGTGGAGCCGACGATGTGCCAAAGGCGCTAGCCCAGATCCTGGGGTTTGTTCCGTTGTGTGGCCTAAGGTTCTGAATGCCCCTGCATTTTGCAAAGCTAGAGGACTCAGGGTAGAACTACGGAGTGCTGGATTCCTTGCAACTGCTTTCGACGAAGAGCATGAAACACCTAGTGGGAGCGTCGCTGCAAAGGCTTTGAGCCCTGATCTTCCTTTCTTGAAGGCATACAGTAGGGAGCCGGGGGGGGGGGGAGAGGGGTGCTTAAGCAAGAACTACAGAGAGTTTACTCGACTTAGGCCCCAGGACTTTTCATGTTATCCCACAGAACTCAGCAAGCGCTTTCCCAGATTGGCGACGGGCGGTTGGACCCAGCTTTCTCCGACTGGAGTCGGTCCAAGAAGACTCAGCAGGCCCTAGCCTTCATGTACCTGTATAGTATATATATATATATATGTGGGCCCTAAAGATACTATAAAGGAACCCCTTGAAGGTCCAAGTATATACTTGGGTTGCTTAAACCCTGTACTTAAGACGGACGCTCTCGAGCTAGCCCTGAACTTCCGAACCCTAAACCCGAAGCCAATAACCCTAACCCACAAGTTGTCCTCAGGGTTTCGGGTTTTGGCGGGGGGGTTAGGGTACAACGGCCTCGTGTCTGTATGGTGTCTGCGGATTCCTATAGCCCTTTGGGACCTAGGAAGCCTTTCTTCTAGGGTAGGCTTAGGGTTGAGGGTTTAGGGTACGTAGTTGTTAAGCAGGTTTATGAGGTAAGATCTTTCTTTGTACTTGCTTAGGCCACCCATCCTCCAAGTTGTGACACAAAGCCCTGGAGTTTTTGGATGGTAAGGTCTTGTTTTGGGCAAGAGGGTTAGTTCCTGGGTTTTTGGGGCTTAGTCTTAGTATTTAGGGTTCAGGGTACGAGGGTTCCTCCCACATAATTTGCCTGTCTTCGAAGCCTCAGGAAGACTAAGCTTGGATCCCCTGAGGTTAGGGAGAGGAGGCTATAGGAGCCAGGCGCAAGTTGCATTGCAGGACCGTAAAGGGTGGGGTCTATGAGGGTCACCCCTTGGTTGGGAAATGCCCCAACATTTTTTGGGTTTCCCTGCACTTTTTCAGGATGACGATGGTCTGGGACACCGTGGATGAGGGGTTTCTCTTGTTTGGGGGACTGGGCAATGGACCCGTGGCTGGCATAGAGCCATTCTGGGACTTCCGCAACGACCTGCACCTCCGTGCGTTTGGGGGTTTTTCGAAATTAGTGTACCTTACTGGGGTCCGTATTATATATATACATATATATATAGATTTGTATATAGGGATCTGCTATTTGTGGGTCCCCCCCCTTTGGGTTCAGAGTTGAGGGTATGTTGAGGGTATGTAGAGGGTATGTTGAGGGTATGCCCGAGGTTTGGGTGATGGTGTAGGACGACGTACTCCGTCTTGGCAGAAACCCAAATCTATGCAGCAAGAGCGTAAATCTTCACGCGGCTGGAAGTTTTCCTGCTGCACATGGACAGACTAAGGAAAGGACCTGGACACTCGCAGTCGTTTGTCTAAGGTCCGGGTTTCAGGACATGTAATTACCCTAAGCCCGAACTGCCAAACCTCTAACCCCAAAACCTCCTACTCCGTGGTGATCCGAAGGGATGTGTCACTCAGTTGCTAATGAAGTTAGCCATATAGGTTGGGTTCGGTCGGCCCACACTAACAGTCAAATAATGCCGTGGCCTTATAACACACAGGCCAAAAATAGCACCAGGAATCCCAGTGAATTTTAGCATTTACCGGGTGCTGCTTTTTGTGGGTCTGCTGGTGGTGACTGCTAGTCACATAGAACAGCACCAGAAATAGCACCAGAAATAGCACCAGAAACAGCACCAGAAACAGCGCCAGAAATAGCACCAGAAATAGCACCAGGAATAGCACCAGGAATAGCACCAGGAATCCCAGTCAATTTTAGCAGCTTAGCATTTACCGGGTGCTATATCTTGTGGGTCTGCTGATGGCGACTGCTAGTCACATAGCACCAGAAACAGCACCAGAAATAGCACCAGAAATAGCACCAGAAACAGCACCAGAAATAGCACCAGAAACAGCACCAGAAACAGCACCAGAAATAGCACCAGAAATAGCACCAGGAATAGCACCAGGAATAGCACCAGGAATCCCCAGTCAATTTTGGGCATTTACCGGGTGCTTTTATTTGTGGGTCTGCTGGTGGTGACTGTTAGTGTGGACCGGCCGAACCCAACATATAGGTATTTCCCAGAATACGTAGTACCCCTTCTATACCCCAAGTAGCCCCTGTTTTCGGGAACCCCCGCCTTGAACCTCCAGGTACTTCTACAGCGTGACTCTGAATGCGTGGACTATCAAATCAGCAGTTGGGGCGCCAGAGCGGCGCATTGCACATACTGCTGTGCTCGATCCGGATACCAGGATGATGTATGTGTTCGCTGGGCAGAACGCAAGCGTAAACGAACAGTCCCCCGAGACTTCTTTCAGTGACCTGTATCTGGGGTGCTTTTGGAAGAAAAATCTTGTAATTTCTACGGGTCCTAGCCCCTATATGCCCTGAATGGCCCATAGAAATTTAGATTTTCATAGGGGCCCCAAATCCTCCCCAGGTATGGCTATGACCTGGCGACGGACACATGGACAGAGCTGGCCGCGGCAAGTTCCGAGCGATCGAGGCACTCTTGTAGGGCTTGGTAGCCCAGTGGTACCCTTTACTTTTTTTTTGTTTGCTCTGGTTTCCGTTGTAAAGTAACCAACTAAACAGAGGGTGCCCTTATTATCATATGGTTACTGGGCTACCAAAAGGGGCTTCCTTTGGATTCTGCACGACTCTCGCGAATAATATCCCTAAACCCCAAACCTTAAACCCTGATCCCTAAACCGTGACGCCCTCATACGAAGTGGTAGTCTCGTTCCGCGTCTTAACCCTGAACCCTAAACCCTATACCCTAAACCGCAGGCACTCCGCAGTCTGGGACAGCGAACGGAGCCAGATGATAGTCTTTGGCGGCGTTGATGCTTATGGAAACAAGTTGAATGACGTTGAGACGCCTCTGGACTTCGCAGAGTGCTTTCCCGTTTGCCTTTGTTGGGTTTAGGGTTTGGGGTTTAGGTTTTAGGGTTTAGGGCTTAGGGTTCTGGCATAATTTGGGATGTTCCCTCTGAAACTAACAGTATTATCATAGGGGGGGGTTTCCATAATCCTTATTAAGGACTGCTAGTATAAGGAAGGGGCGAACATCCCAAGGTACGATGCAGGCTCCTCTTGGAACCCAAAGTTCACCAGAACCCTCCCCCTGGTTCTTCGTAGGGAATGAGGGAATGAGGGCCCTCCTTAACCCTAAACCCTAAACCCTAACTGAATATATCTTTTCTGGGATTCTGTAGGGCACCTCTTCCTGTTAGCCTGTGGAGCCGCAAAGGTATAATCCGAGCTCTGACTCTTGGAATGCTCCGAGCGTTTCTGACCCGAAGCCGTCTGCGCGCTTCGGGCACGTTGCTGTGCCTCTGCTGTTGAGAAGGTATCGGCTGTGCAAGGCTGTGTTTGTTGCTTGTACAAGAGCTGGCAATGCACAACCACATAATCTAGGGGTGTAATATTCCATTCTGGTCCCTTTGTAATCATACTATAAACACCCTATTCTAAGTGATCAGGTCCCTACACTAGTTGTTTTGCTGTTCTCCTGAGCGGGCCTGCATCTTTGCGCGGCCGACACGACTTCGCCTAGGTGTGGGACTCCTCGTCCAACGTGATGCTGATGTGCTGCGGGCGTGGTTCGCAATCCTACAAGCCATACACCGGCACAACGGACAACACAAACAACGAGTCTCGATCCTGATTGAGTAGCCCAGTAAAGCCTGATGCAGAGATAAGCCATGAATATTCCTTTGCGCGACTATGGAGCTGCAGGAATCCCAGTTTGAACTCCCCGACAAACCTTATGCAGTTTTGTCCTAAACCCTAAACCCTAAACCCTAAACCCTCAATCCTCAAAACCCTAAACCCCAGGACTTATGGAGCTATTCTACAGGCCCCGGGGGTGGATGGACTGAGCTGGTGCAGTCTGGGAGCTTCACCCAGCGAAAGGATTTCTCACTGGTCTGGAATCCCACAACCGGCTCGTTGGTGGGGCCCGGCTAGGTGTTGAGGGTTTAGGGTTTAGGGTTTAGGGTTTGGGGTTTAGGGTTTGGGGTTTAGGGTTTAGGGTTTGGGGTTGCAAACTCAAAGAGCCCAACGCCGCCTTCATTCAAGCAATTTAGCTTGAGTCATATGAAGGGTCCCTTTGTGATTTAAGGTACATTCCTTAATAAAGGGTATTGAGCTATTTGGGAATGTACCGTCACATGATATATGCATACATATCTTTGTACATAGGGGTACCCCACCCCGTTTATTCCTCAAATAAAATAGAACCCCCCTTCAAGGGACCTCCAAAAGGGGTACCCCGATTTCGGAGAACCCCATATATGTGTACATAGTACATGTACATGCACCATGGAGTTTTGGAAGCCGCTGGGTGCAGATAGCGCATACTGATCTGCCCCAGATTGCACGTAGACAGAGCTGTCTTTCTACCCTATAAGTTATGTGAATGCTTATACTATACTATCCTATACTATACTGTACTGTACTATACTATACTATACTATACTATACTATACGGTGTAGGAACAAGAGGGTCGTCAAATGTTTTCAGAGGTTCTGTTTCTAGGACGTCGATTTTGTGGGGTGCTGGGACATGGTCTGTCGTTCCTTGTACAACCTAAACCCTAAACCCTAAACCCTAAACCCTAAACCCTAAACCCTAAACCCTAAACCCTAAACCCTAAACCCTAAACCCTAAACCCTAAACCCTAAACCCTAAACCAGAAACCCTAAACCCTAAACCCTAAACCCTAAACCCTAAACCCTAAACCCTAAACCCTAAACCCTAAACCCTAACCCTAAACCCTAAACCCTAAACCCTAAACCAAAGTGTTTCCTTTCTTGGTACATGCGTTCATGGCAATATGGTCAGTTCATATCAGTTCTCTGAATTCCTTGCCCCTTTTTGGCCATCCGAAATAAGAGGGGCCGGGACCCCAAAAGGGACCGTACTTTAGAGAAATGACCATACAGACAGCACTTGGGGTTTTCATGTCAGGGGGTTGGGATGTTGCCCTTTTATCTAACAGTCCTTACTAGGGATTACAGTACTCCCCTACGAGAATCCCGATTAAGGAGCTGTTAGTACAAGGGGGCACATCCCAAATTTTTCCAGAACCCTAAGCCCTGAAGCCTAAACCCTAAAAAGGAGCATCCCATATTTCCGCCTAACTAATTTTTTATTTACTATTACATTTACAATAACTATCTTAATAAAACGTTAATAAAGAATTCAGGGGGGCATGGGAGAGAGCTTTGGGATCTCCAGGTGGGGTTTGGCGGAGACTGGTCGCTCGGCATCCTCGACTCCCTCTGCCTCTACACCAACGCCATTTGGTCTTAGTTGAAGTTCAGCTACTGGGATGTTCCCCCTTATACTTCTCATAAGGGGCGGGGGTGTACTAGAATCCCTGTCACGGGCTGTTGGTGTGGGGGGGGGAACATCCCAAAACTCAGCTATTTTGTAGGGTGTTCAGCGGTTCTGGATGGTCTGAGAATATGAGAGCTTACAGAGCCAGTGGTCAAATCTCAACAATGAATTTTCTCAGAGCTGCGCTAGCCGTTGTGTGTGAATGAGGTGCGTCCCCCCCCCCCCCCCCCCCCCTGCACAAGAATAGCAACTCTAGGCTGACTAGTCTAATGATTCATAATCCTATATACTTCCCTCTTTCTCACCTTCGGGGAGTACCAAGAAGGAAAGGGAGATCTTTATTGTTCCTGCTGGATTGCTGCCCCTGAACCCTAAACCCTAAACCCTAAACCCTAAACCCTAAACCCTAAACCCTAAACCCTAAACCCTAAACCCTAAACCCTAGACCCTGAACCATCCTGAACCCTGAACCCTGAACCCTAAACCCTTAACCCTAAACCCTAAACCCTAGGCGACCAACAGCTGGAGTGAGTACACAATCACTGGCCCAACTGAACGCTTTGCTCACGCCGCGGTCTGGAGCCCTACAGACGACCAGCTCTATATGATTCTTTGCATAGTTGGGTAACATTTTACGTGTTTTAGGGTACTTAAACTCAATAAGGAATTTTTATCCCAACCATGAGCTAGGTTTGGGGGGATCGACGCCATCAGCACAGTGGATGAATTTTGGAGGTTGGATTCTGTCTTGACAAGTACGAGCTCTTCCTCTAGTATCTCCGTGAGCACCAGCTCTTCATCCAGCACAAGCTCCTTGAGCGTGACCTCTTCCATCTCCAGTACTGCCACGGCCACTACGACCACTACGACCACGTCCGCAAGCACCACCTCCCAAACCACCTCCCAAACCAGCTCCAAAACCACCTCCACCACCACGACCTATACCTCTGAGACCTCCACGACTCCCACCTCTCACACATCCACGACCTCCACCTCTCACACATCCACGACCTCCACCTCTCAGACATCCACCACCTCCATGACCTCCTCCTCCTCCTCCTCCTCTGAGACCTCCACCTCGTCTAGTACATACACGTCCATCACATCGTCGTTCACAACCTCCGCATCTACCACGTCCAGGCTCGGCACCTCCACATCTGTGACGTCCACTTTCACCACTTCCACTTCGACTGCCCCAGCCTTTGCACAATCCACCGTCACCGCCTCATCAACAACTTCTGTCTCCAGTCTTTCTTTAACCGCTAGCACGACAGTGACGTCATCGACTTCGGCAGCTTCGCTGTCTACAGCTTCCAGGAGTACAACGATGACAGAAAGCTCAACTGCTACAACAACCCTGTCTGCAACAACTAGCAGAGGTGCCTCTACAACAAGCTCCAGTTCAGCCACATCGCTCTTCTCAACTTCCATCTCGGCAACAGGAAGCTCCACCATCACGGAGGCAAGCAGGACCGAAACCATGACAGCAACGACTTCCCGTGCATCGTCAAGCAGCACTTCCACAAGCTCGTCTTCTTCCACGCGCTCAGGCATGTGGGGTTCAGGGTTTAGGGTTTAGGGTTGAGGGCATGTGCATGAAACACCTAGGACCTAAGAGATCATCGGATATGGGGGTTTCCGAAATTTGGGGGGTGCCCTATTGGGGTCCTTAATATAAGGGAATCCGATTACTTGGGCTCTATATTAGGGGTGCCCTGTTTTCGCAAATCCCCATACGTATTCCCTTGTGCAAGAGGGTGCCATGCCTAGATCGTTGGTTGCCGAAGACGGGTACCGAAACTCATGAAGCAGGCCTCGTTGTGACATCCTCGTCTACTTCGACGTCCATGTCAACGTCCAGGCCATACTGTTTTCTGTTGACCCTAAACCCTAAACCTAAACCCTAAACCCTAAACCCCAAACCCTGAACCCTAAACCCTAAACCTCTTCACCGTCAACCCTAAACCCTAAACCCTAAACCCTATACCCTAAACCCTAAACCCTAAACCCTAAACCCTAAACCCTAAACCCTAAACCCTAAACCCTAGCCCCCTAAACCCTAAACCCTAAACCCTAAACCCTAAACCCTAAACCCTAAACCCTAAACCCTAAACCCTAAACCCTAAACCCTAAACCCTAAACCCTAAACCCTAAACCCTAAACCCTAACCCCTTTCCGTCTTTTTTTTTGCATCGAACCAGACACGGCATGCTCATGTTCCAGCAGCAAGAACATGGCACTTAATTGATCGTATCCTGTACTGTTCAGCACATGTTGAAAAAGCTAGGAAACCTTATAAATACATAGCGCTGTTTTCAGGTGTTTTTCAGGTGTTTTGTGTTTGGAACAGAAAGCGGACCTTTCCAGTAAGAGCGACAAAGGTGAACAAGTTCCCTTGAACATCGGAGGAAACTGCTTTCAAGTCATTTGAAAAGCATGTTTACGGTTTCACAATCATTGTGAAAACAATGGTCATTTCTCTTGATTAGGGTCCCTTTTGGGCCCTAATATTTAGGGTACCCCAAAAGGGACAGTAACTTTGAGAACAGACCAAATTCTGCCGGCCTTTCAGCACGGGATGTGACTAGTCGCCAAGCCTCTTCAAGATCGAAGAGGTAGTTCAGCTATGTTCGCCGCGCAGTACCAGACAACCTTGATTTCATCGATGTTTCTTTAGAAAGATTTTTCATGCTTCCGAAAGCTAGCATGTCACAGACTGCAGGTTTGTTAGGACTTCACGAGCTCATTCTGCTCATTAGCTGCTGCTGCTGCTGCTACTGCTACTTTTTGCTGCTGACTGCTTTCCCTCCTGTGTTGTTACTTCGTATCTTTTCCGTTGCCGCTGCGGGGACTCTTCGCCTCCTTCGGCTTGATCTTTGTCAGAGTCACTACCATCAAAACTGCTATTTCTGCTGCTGATGTTCGTGTTGTTGGAGTCGAGGACGAAGGACGTCAGCGTGGGCACAGTTGTGGAGCGGCTGTCTCAAGTTGAGCAGGCCGAGCAAGGCATCGTGATGGGTCTGCTTGAATTCCTCATCGGCAGCAACACCTCCGACGTGGTGGGACGTTCTCTCAATTCCTTAGGGGCTTCTAGAACCTTCAAGGGAGTATTTGCATTTATTCGGGTTCCAAGGAAAGCAGGGTCCCAGAGTAGGGTGCACTTGCTTCCCAATCAAGGGGTTTGGAGAAATGCCAGGTGGCCAATGCCTCAAACGCCTCGACGGGAGTTTTGGGCTACGTGTTTTCAAATGATGAAGATGCTGCAGTGCATGCTTGGGCTTTGGCCTCAGCTCCCCCGAACGAAACGCTGGCTCCACCGCTGGTTCTGGATGCAGGAACGTTTGGTTTGGTGGTGCCGCCGGAAGCCCTTGAGCAAGTTGCAACGCTGGCCGCCGACGTGGGCCTCCCGCGGGAGGTGGTGCTTCTCACCATCAGCAGCTTCGAAGCTACGCCAGAGTTGAACAGCAGCAACAGCTCCTTGATCTCGGAGCCGGTGCACGTGAGCTTCCGTGCAGCGGACGGTCAGCGCCTTCGGGTGAGTGGGCTGAGAAAGCCTTTGGAGCTGAGGTTTGAGGGCCTAGAGCGCTTCAATGAAAGCGCTCTCCAGCAGGCTCGATGTGTGTTTTGGGACGAAGATGCTGGCAGCTGGTCCAGGGAAGGATTGGCACGCTCTGAGCAGTCAGACGGGTTTGTGTGCCTCACAAGCCACTTGACGATCTTCGGGGTTGTGTTTCTGGAGGCGGTCGGCAGGGCCTTCCGGTGCTCTTCAGCTTCCGACGTCTTGTCCGTTGAAGGCCTCCAGAACTTGGGGACGACCCGCTGGCTGACGTATGCAGCCACAATCGTCACCTTCGTGTTCCTGGCCGCTTTTGCTGCTGCCATGGGCTGGGGAGCGCACCTGGATGTGAAGACGAAAAGAGCCTTCTCTGAAGCTGAGGTGGAGGCCGTGCTCCTGGTGAGCCGTTCCGAGGAGCGGGCTTGGGAAGAAGAGTGGCTGCGGCACGGCCGCAGCGCGCTCTGCTGCTGGTGCCTCACCAGCGCTTTTGAGAAGATGGCCTGGTTGGTCAGCATCGTCTTCGAGTTCGAGGCCACGGATGACGTGGGTAAGTTTGCGAATCCCCAGGCTACTACGGTGAGTCGCTGCATCTCTCTGCTCCATTCCTACAAGGCGGGCGCCTGCCGCGAGAGCATCTCGGTAGTGATGGCCTCCAGCGGGGAGCGCAAGCTCCGGTCAGGGTCCCCATGTGCCGTGCAGGGCGAGCGCAGCACCTCCTCCCACGCGTCCGCGATCTCGGAGACCTGGGATGTCCATTATCACGGGGTGAGAGCTGTGAAGCAGTATCTGTCTGCCTCCTGGTGCAGTCGGGTGACGATGCTGCTGCCGTGCCTGCACCCGTGGCTGCGGCTGACGCTCATGAGCTTCTTCAGCTCTCACGCCATGCGTGCAGCCCTTGTAGTCCTCAAGGTTACGACCTCAGCCTTCGCAAATGCCCTGTTCTTTACGAGCGCGGCGCAGGCGAGAGATTCCGATGCCAAGATGCACTGGGAGCGCGGTGTAGGGTTTTGAGAGCTACCCCCCCTGCCCTGCCAGCATGAACTGAACAAGTGCGTTTCGATCGTTCGCAGTACAAAGCGGCAGTTCTTTCCATGGTATGATACCCTATACGTTGTCCAACATGTCCCAACACCTGTATATTTTTCTAGCTCTGTTTCGTTTTTCTAGCTGCGCCCTCTGTTCATCATGGTCCGAGTTGGCCTGTGGATTTGTTCTTCCCATTTATTCCCTTAACCCTCAATCCCGAAACCCTATTGGCGTGAATGAGGATGACGAATGCGTTGCGGAACACCCCGTCGGTGAGAAGCTGCTGACCGCACTCGTTGTTGGTCTTTCTTCCGCGTGCCTCAGTGACTTGGGTTCCTAGAGGGAAGCCTTGAACTTCTCTGTTGTCATCTTCAGTTTCAAGAAGAGGTTGGATGGAAGTTTCAGGAACAAGCGAGGTTACTTAAAGGTTCAGGGGTAAAGTTGCACTTATATGTCTGAAGGGAGGCAAAAAAAAGTCATACATATATATATATATATATATATAAATATAAATATAAATATAAATATAAAAATATATGTTTAAGATATATATATAAGATATATATATATATATATATATAATATACACATATGCACATATATGTATATATATATATGTATATATATATATATATATATATATAATATGCGTACATACTTATATTCCAACCTCACTCAACATACTTATGGTAATACCCCCCCGTTCAGGAACCTTGAAGTCATGGGTCGCTGGAGTGTGGAGTTCTTGCAATGCCATGTGGGATGCTCCCCTTGTACGAACAGTCCTGAATGGGGATGGAAAGTACCCCCTGTCATGATCCCTATGAAGGGCGAAATTAGTAGAAGGGGGGAACATCCCCAGAAATAACACGGTGATTCAGAGGACCTGGGCCTAGGTGATGTCCTGGTGATAGTGTTGGCCGTGCTCCAGCAACGTCGGGTGCTGGTGCGAGACCTGTGGACGGCAGAGATGAAGGCCACTTCGGCACCAAGCTTTGGGCAGTTCGGCGCGGGAAGGGCAGCTGACACGTTTCGATGCGGTAGGTTTTGGCAGTCCGCTCCTGCACTTCAGGCCTTTCGTACCCGACTTTTACCTTTGATTTAGCAGGCTTCATAGGGTGTGATTGCCACTGCCGACTGCAGATAGAATGGGGGGGGGATCAGGGTTGCGCTGTGCTGTAAGATTCGTCCCAGAACCTTGCACCTGAAGCCCTAAGCCCTCAACCCTGCACCCCTCAAGAACACGCGCGCAGGGGCCCCGCACGAACATTCAATGCACACAAGGCCCATAGACCGAGGAATCGCTGGCACCACGACTTTCTTTCTCAGCAAGGTTCAGGGTTTACCGTTTGGGGTTCAGGGTGATGCTCATATCCAGCGGTTGCCAAAATCTCTTCGAGTTCGAAAGACTGAAGCTGATCGAACTCGTCCGAACTGTCAGAACTTAAGTGCTTACGATTACGTTCGAGTGTGCCCTTAAACCCTAAACCCTAAACCCTAGCCCTAAACCCAAACCCGAAACCCTAAACCCCGAATTTGGCTGACATATGTAGCGTCGTCATGAGCTTTGCACTTGGGAGTTCAAGCGGCAATGGGAGTCGGAGCAAATTTTCTGAAACATGTAGATGACCATGTAGAAGATGACTTGGTTCCGTTGCCTCCTGGTACTAATCATACTTAGAGCGGCGCCAACATCATCGCACCAGGATGTGTTGCCAGCTGAAGCCAGATGGGGGTTTGCGAAAATAAGAGACCGCCAATATAGACCCCAAATAGTAGGATTCCCTTAGAATAAGGGCCCCAACAAGGTAACCGTAGTGTCGGAAACCCCCAGATGTTGCCTGGCTCAGGAGTCTTTGAGGGTAAGAGTCCCGTCAAAAACCCAAACCCTAAACCCAAAGCCCACGTTGCATCCACCGCTTGCTGTGCATGCTGATGCCCCGCTGATTCGCCACGTGCTGCACACGTGAATGCTGCTGTGCATGGTTTAGGGTTTAGGGTTTAGGCTTATCCGTTTTCCACGAGCAATGTTGGAGCAAGACGATATAAGCGGATGTGCCACGGCACAGCTTTACAGGATTTAACCATCACTTCCACCCGCTGCTTCTTATGTCTCTACAGGTTCGCTGAGTGCAACACGTGAGTGCATCTAGTGCTGCGCCCCCGTGCTCAATGCGACACTTGCGCGCGGGAACGGCTCTGATAAGCTGCTTTATTGGCTGCTTTCATTCGCATTGCGCGCCCTCATTCGCTACCATGCGCACGCCTGCCCTTCCGCCCATGCACGCACGCACGCATGCATGCACTTACGCACTTGCACATGCACGCACGCATGCACCTACGCACGCTCACGTGCACGGGCACACACACGAACAGAGGCGCTACGCACGCGAACGTGCTGGCACACATGCAGTCACACATGCAGGCACAAATGCACACACCCACACATGCACACATGCACACATGCACCCATGCACACATGCACAGGACATGCACATACACATGCACTCTCACATGCGGGCTCGCACACATTGACACACGGAGGCAAGACAGTTGCGGCGCTGGCGCATAAGGAGGCGGCTCTTCTGGTTTGTTTGGTTTGGTGCCTGTATCTTCTCCATTCTCTACATATTGCCCCTTGGCCCAGATGGGGGGTTTAGGGTTTAGGGTTTAGGGTTCCGAAAAATGGGGGGTACAGTAGATGGTGATCAGCGCCCTCCGAGTTTCGAAGGTGACTCCTGATGCTGGCTGGGCTTTGGACGACTCAAAAGTATGAACACTTGAAAGTTCAGAGCCCTCCCCGGTAGGCCCTGGGGACATGTTACATTTTTGCCTTATTGGGTTTAAGAGGCTCAGATTTGGGAACATTCTTAAGGGGGCGTGTAATGGCCATCCTTACATGAACATGTTCTCCCCAAAATCCCCTAAACCCTAAACCCTAAACCCTAAACCCTAAACCCTAATCCCAAGGTCTTTCCTTGCGAATGTGAGCGAAGCTGATGCTGCGGAATGGCTGGAAAGCAGCGGGGTCAGCGTTTTGCAAGACACTTCGACCCCACAACATCCAGATAGACTTTGAGGTGTTAGTGGGGAGATGATAAATCAGACCCTGAACCCTAAGCCATAAAACCTAAGCCCTTTAAATCAGACCAGCATCCAGAACTGAAGTTCAAGCTTTGGGGCGCATCCGGGGGAAGAAGCAGCTAAGGATATCCTTTTCAAGCCCGTGCTAATGGCAGTGGGCTACGCCACGTTAACGACCCTGGTCCTGTGCTGCAGTCCCCGTGTCAAAGACACGATTCTCAGCCAGTGGATATGCCAGGACGAGGTGAGCGAAAGCGCAGTGGAGGAATCAGCTAGCGTAGGGTTCCCTGCAGCGGAGGATTCAGTTAGCGTAGGTTTCCCTGTAGGCGAGTCAGCAGAGGTCGATGAGACGTTGTCGATCGGGAGCTCGGACCCCCCCGAGCCCGTCAAGAAAACCTGGCTCTGACAGTGGCTATAAGCCCAGCTGCGTTGGCCAAAAAAAGGAGCTGCTTCCGGAGATTTGGGGGGGCCTTTTCCCTGCTTGGAGGGTCGGGGGACTTAGTAACTAGATAGTAGGTAGACTTATTAAGTACCCGAAAAGTGACCCCAATTGGAGTTATCCTACTTATAACTCCATTGGCATTGGATAACTACTTCCTAAGTCCCCCGACGCTCCAAGTGAGGTCCCTGGACGCGGAACCTTTGTGAGCTCTACAGGGAACTCTTAGAAGCTTTCTGATCTCTGTTGCAGCAACAAGAGCTGTGCAGAACGGGAACCTCCCCAGGTTCCCCCTAGGCCGGAAGCTATCGAAGCTCTTAGTCCCCGAACTATCGAACCATTGAGGGCCCCTGAGGGCCGGTCCCTGAAGACCCCCAACCCCTGAACCCGAAAACACCCACTGAATGACACTTGTCCAGGATACCAACCTTATATCTCCCCTTCCTAGATGGGATCACAGATTGTGGGTTAGGGGGGTTAGGGGCTGTAGGACTTACGATCCAGGGGACGGTCCTTGGGAGCTTCGGTAAAAGTAGGCTGGGTCGCAGGTGTTTCTGCTCTTGCAGCTATTGGCATAGAGGTTCTCCCACACATGGGACCCACCGCGTGGCAAGCGTTGCAAGCAGAGAGGGAACTACTTCAGACTGCTTGGCAAAGCTACGCCCTGGACACAAAGGACCACTCTGTCGCACGGAAGCCCTAAACCCTAAGCCCTAAACCCTAAACCCTGAACCCTAAACCCTGAACCCTGAACCCTAAAAGCCCTGGAACATCTCCCATGTCTGCCATGGATCCGGCATCCCAGGCCAAATCGCCACATCGCGTGCAGGGCTACTAGGACCCGGAGTGGGCCCCTAGTTTCCAAATTTTTGGGTTGGGGTTCCCTTGTACTCCCCTCAAAGCCAAGAAGGGTGCCCTTCTACTCCTGGGTCTAATTGCTTGTGTTCCTTAGAAATCAAGGGTGTCAAGGGGCACATCATGTTGAATTAGGGTTTAGGGTTTAGGGTTTAAGGTTTAGGGTTTAGGGTTTAGGGCTGCGAAGCTGCTTGTGAGGGGTGCTTTGCATGGACCCAGAAGGACCACCAGGCCAACGTAGGCCCGAAGACCCCAACCCCCAACCCCCAAACCCCAAACCCTAAACCCTAAACCCTAAACCTAAACCCTAAACCCTAAACCCTAAACCCTAAACCCTAAACCCTAAACCCTAAACCCTAAACCCTGAACCCCAAATCCCGTACTCTTAACCCAAAATCCTCGTTGTCTATCCCCCCTAGGCCCCGGAGGCAAGGGGGCCCAAACCCAAAATCCGAAAACCCTAAACCCTAAACCCTAAACCCTAAACCCTAAACCCTAAACCCTAAACCCTAAACCCTAAACCCTAAACCCTAAACCCTAAACCCTAAACCCTAAACCCTAAACCCGAAACCCTAAACCCTAAACCCCAAAGCGTTCAGAGTCTGGCATGCGTTCTGCCGTGCTCTTGTCGTTATTCCTGAGAAGCAGCCCTTAACGCTCTGGAAACCCAAAGCCCCAATTCCCTCCCTTGCCTCAATCCCCAAAACCTCCCGAAACCTCCCGAAACCTTAAACCCTAAACCCTAAACCCTAAACCCGAAACCCTAAACCCTAAACCCTCAAACTCTAGATGTTTCTAGATTTCCACCCTCGCGCATCCTCCTCGCCACCCTTCGTTCTCCTTGGAAGGCCCCTCGGGTCCCTTGAGTGGCTGCCATGGCGGCGCCCCTGCCATGTTGGGTTTAGGGTTTAGGGTTTAGGGTTTCGGGTTTAGGGTTTAGGGTTTCGGGTTTCGGGTTTAGGGTTTAGGGTTTCGGGTTTCGGGTTTAGGGTTTAGGGTTCAGGCTTTCGGGGATTGCTCCAGGGCAGCCACGGGGTTCTAGGGCTCGACGTTCGGTTTGGTTTAGGGTTTGGGGGGGGGGGGGGGCATGTTTGTGGCTTAGGGTTCAGGGGGTTTCACGGTTTTAGTGTTTTTAGGGGGGGTTTAGGGCCCTTTAGGGTCTTTAGGGGGTTTAGGGTTCGTTTTCGGGGTTTTAAGGGCGTTCCAGGCCTTAAGGGATGCTTCTGGCTTCGGGTCGAGTAGCACAAAGACTACAACACCGCCCTAGGCGCAAAGCCTAGGCACAAAGCAAGTTTTTCTCAGGACAGCAAGCGTGCATGGTTGCGTCATTGTTTTGCTGTCGCCTTTTTTTACGGTTTTTTCCGGCCGCAAATGCCAAACCCGAGCCCTAACCCCTAGAGTGTTTAGGGTTTTAACGCCCCCCCCCCCCGCCCACCCCGAGCTCCCAACATCTTGGAGCCACCATGCCTTCAGACCATCATAGGCCCCTCCCTAAGCCCTAAACCCTAGACAGGAATGCGTAGAGCCCACAAACCGAATTCCCGAGCCCTGAACCGAAGAGCCCTCGACCGTGTTTTGCTCACCAAGCTCTCCAAGCCCAAGCTGCGACCCAAGAAATCGTAAGCCTCAAGCGCCTTAGCCCCCACCAAGTTCTTGTGATAAGGGTTCGGGGTTCAGGGTTTAGGGTTTAGGGTTTTGGGGCTTAGGGTTTATTTCGTTCCATGCCAACCCTTGCACAGTCCCAGCCGAGACTACCCCAAGATGTCATGGATAGCGGGATCTCCCCATAGAACAGCCTGCCGTGTAGCGCCTTTGTAGAAACCCTGAAGAAGCTTATTCCCAAAGTAAAATATTCGACACCTCAACCCCAAACCCCAGCACTCGAAGCCCTAGACCTTAAACCCCTAATCCCCAAGCCCTAAACCCCAAGCCCTAAACCCCTAAGGCCTAAACCTAAACCCTAAACCCTCTTAACCCTAAACCCTCTTAACCCTAAACCCTCTTAACCCTAAACCCTCTGAACCCTAAACCCTCTTAACCCTAAACCCTCTGAACCCTAAACCCTCTTAACCCTAAACCCTCTGAACCCTAAACCCTCTTAACCCTAAACCCTCTGAACCCTATACCCTCTTAACCCTAAACCCTAAACCCTCTTAACCCCAAATCCTCTTAACCCTAAACCCTAAGCTCCTGCCGGCCCTTGGCAGTTCTTTGCCGACAGCCGGGCCCTGCGAGGCCTTCGCGCGCTGCTGGGGTGCGTGAAGGGTTCGTGTAAACGAGCGTTTAGGGTTTAGGGTTTAGGGTTTAGGGTTTAGGGTTTAGGGTTTAGGGTTTAGGGCTTAGGGTTTAGGGTTTAGGGTTTAGGGTTTACGCTTCGCCATTGCAAGGCTCTCCAATTCAAGAGATCCCTTCAGAAGGGGGCTTCAGGTCGAGGGGTTTAGGGTTTAGGGGTGTAGGGGTTTGGGATTTAGGGTTTTGGGTTTCGGGTTTAGGGTTTAGGCTTTAGGGGTTGGGGGTGAGGGGTTGATGCAAGCCGCCTGCAGGCACCAGAAGTTCCCAGTTGAGACCTGCCACGCTCTTATCGCAGATCTCCTCGTCCCTTCTTGCACCCGCGAATGGGGCTTTGGGTTTAGGAGTTTAGGGTTTCGGGTTTGGGGCTACCCTAAACCCTAAACCCTAAACCCTAAACCCTAAACCCTAAACCCTAAACCCTAAACCCTAAACCCTAAACCCTAAACCCTAAACCCTAAACCCGGGTGAAAGCTTGCGCCGCCAGGGTCGCGAACGGCCTCGGTGGATGACAGCCGCCGATCTTGCAAAGAGTTTTGGGGGTTCGGTGGGGGGGGGGGGTGGGGTTTAGGGTCTAGAGGTTAGGGTGCTAGGGTCTAGGGTTCAAGGGGGTAAAGTTTAGGGTCTAGGGTTCAGCCTTTTGAGGTTACAAGCACAAAAGGTTGCCGATGCCGGGGCATGCTTGGGATTCTGCAACGGGCCTTGCTCTTGTTTGCTGCGTTCCCAAACTGGCTCCAATGCGAATGCGTCAGCTTAAACGGCTAGTTGCCAACATTCATCCGCCGTGTCACCTGTAGAGTTGTACTTTGAGCCTATACAAGTAGGCCCTGACATTGCATGGTTTCGGCATTGCGCCGGGATTTGGGCACCTAGTTCTTGTGTTTCGATGTTGACTGCGAGCTTCGAATTTAGGGTTTAGGGTTGAGAGGTTAGTGGCAGTGTTAAGCCGAACCATGCACTGCAAAGTTTGCGGAAGCAAGCCGTGGATGCTCATGTCCGAAAGCTGGCATGTGAACGTGGCCCATCGTGCCAGTTCTTAGTATGGAATCAGGTAAGGTAAACAGGCAATTACCTTATCCTTCCCCCCAAAACATAAGAAAACGGAAAGAAAACCTGAACCCTGAACCCTTGAAGGCGTTATACAGGAAATGCCTAGTTCCGAAGCTCCCTCATGCGTAGTTCTGAGTCGAAGTTGCTGATGCACAGGGAAGCGTTCAGGGTTTAGGGAAAGCAAAGCAATTAACCTACGGACGTAAGCAATACTCAAAGGTTCAGGGGTGTGTCGGAGTCCCTGAACCCTAAACCCTAAACTCTAAACCCTAAACCCTAAACCCTAAACCTAAACCCAAAACCCTGAACCCAAAACCCCAAAACCCCAAAACCCCACAACCCCAAAACCCCACAACCCTGAACCCTAAACCCTAAACCCTAAACCTTAAACCCTAAACCCTAAACCCTAAACCCTAAACCCTAAACCCTAAACCCTGTGGCTTTATGCCTCCCCCCCCCCCCCCCCCCCCCCCCAAGGCACGGGGCCGCCACGTGAGGCGGATGGAGTTTATGCACAGCTTCTCGAGCAGGCGCACCTTTGGGATCTTTAGGGTTTAGGGTTTAGGGTTTAGGGTTAAGGGGTTATAGGGCTTACAGGGTTTAGGTTTGTTCTTTTTTTTGTTGGGCTTGGGTTTTGTTTGTTCTACGGGGTTTATATCGATTTTTGTGGGAATTATACGAATTTTGAGGGTTTGTAGGGTTTGGGGTTGAGGGTTTACAGGGTTTGGAGTTCTGGGTTGACAAGGTTCGGGGCTTCTAGGGTTCATCGTGTT